AAGATGAACTAGATGGACCCATACTTACCCAAACATGGATTAATAGGTTCTACACATGACTATGAGGACAAACATGAGTGAAACGGTCTCAATCCAAGGGAGGAACATCAAATGGACCTAATTTGGGAACCGGAAGAGGTAAGGAGTCCGAAATGTACCTCTGTGACTCCACATTGTGGAAACTCACTTGTAGTGTATAAGATGAACTAGATGGACCCATACTTACCCAAACATGGATTAATAGGTTCTACACATGACTATGAGGACAAACATGAGTGAAACGGTCTCAATCCAAGGGAGGAACATCAAATGGACCTAATTTGGGAACCGGAAGAGGTAAGGAGTCCGAAATGTACCTCTGTGACTCCACATTGTGGAAACTCACTTGTAGTGTATAAGATGAACTAGATGGACCCATACTTACCCAAACATGGATTAATAGGTTCTACACATGACTATGAGGACAAACATGAGTGAAACGGTCTCAATCCAAGGGAGGAACATCAAATGGACCTAATTTGGGAACCGGAAGAGGTAAGGAGTCCGAAATGTACCTCTGTGACTCCACATTGTGGAAACTCACTTGTAGTGTATAAGATGAACTAGATGGACCCATACTTACCCAAACATGGATTAATAGGTTCTACACATGACTATGAGGACAAACATGAGTGAAACGGTCTCAATCCAAGGGAGGAACATCAAATGGACCTAATTTGGGAACCGGAAGAGGTAAGGAGTCCGAAATGTACCTCTGTGACTCCACATTGTGGAAACTCACTTGTAGTGTATAAGATGAACTAGATGGACCCATACTTATCCAAACATGGATTAATAGGTTCTACACATGACTATGAGGACAAACATGAGTGAAACGGTCTCAATCCAAGGGAGGAACATCAAATGGACCTAATTTGGGAACCGGAAGAGGTAAGGAGTCCGAAATGTACCTCTGTGACTCCACATTGTGGAAACTCACTTGTAGTGTATAAGATGAACTAGATGGACCCATACTTACCAAACATGGATTAATAGGTTCTACACATGACTATGAGGACAAACATGAGTGAAACGGTCTCAATCCAAGGGAGGAACATCAAATGGACCTAATTTGGGAACCGGAAGAGGTAAGGAGTCCGAAATGTACCTCTGTGACTCCACATTGTGGAAACTCACTTGTAGTGTATAAGATGAACTAGATGGACCCATACTTACCCAAACATGGATTAATAGGTTCTACACATGACTATGAGGACAAACATGAGTGAAACGGTCTCAATCCAAGGGAGGAACATCAAATGGACCTAATTTGGGAACCGGAAGAGGTAAGGAGTCCGAAATGTACCTCTGTGACTCCACATTGTGGAAACTCACTTGTAGTGTATAAGATGAACTAGATGGACCCATACTTACCCAAACATGGATTAATAGGTTCTACACATGACTATGAGGACAAACATGAGTGAAACGGTCTCAATCCAAGGGAGGAACATCAAATGGACCTAATTTGGGAACCGGAAGAGGTAAGGAGTCCGAAATGTACCTCTGTGACTCCACATTGTGGAAACTCACTTGTAGTGTATAAGATGAACTAGATGGACCCATACTTACCCAAACATGGATTAATAGGTTCTACACATGACTATGAGGACAAACATGAGTGAAACGGTCTCAATCCAAGGGAGGAACATCAAATGGACCTAATTTGGGAACCGGAAGAGGTAAGGAGTCCGAAATGTACCTCTGTGACTCCACATTGTGGAAACTCACTTGTAGTGTATAAGATGAACTAGATGGACCCATACTTACCCAAACATGGATTAATAGGTTCTACACATGACTATGAGGACAAACATGAGTGAAACGGTCTCAATCCAAGGGAGGAACATCAAATGGACCTAATTTGGGAACCGGAAGAGGTAAGGAGTCCGAAATGTACCTCTGTGACTCCACATTGTGGAAACTCACTTGTAGTGTATAAGATGAACTAGATGGACCCATACTTACCCAAACATGGATTAATAGGTTCTACACATGACTATGAGGACAAACATGAGTGAAACGGTCTCAATCCAAGGGAGGAACATCAAATGGACCTAATTTGGGAACCGGAAGAGGTAAGGAGTCCGAAATGTACCTCTGTGACTCCACATTGTGGAAACTCACTTGTAGTGTATAAGATGAACTAGATGGACCCATACTTACCCAAACATGGATTAATAGGTTCTACACATGACTATGAGGACAAACATGAGTGAAACGGTCTCAATCCAAGGGAGGAACATCAAATGGACCTAATTTGGGAACCGGAAGAGGTAAGGAGTCCGAAATGTACCTCTGTGACTCCACATTGTGGAAACTCACTTGTAGTGTATAAGATGAACTAGATGGACCCATACTTACCCAAACATGGATTAATAGGTTCTACACATGACTATGAGGACAAACATGAGTGAAACGGTCTCAATCCAAGGGAGGAACATCAAATGGACCTAATTTGGGAACCGGAAGAGGTAAGGAGTCCGAAATGTACCTCTGTGACTCCACATTGTGGAAACTCACTTGTAGTGTATAAGATGAACTAGATGGACCCATACTTACCCAAACATGGATTAATAGGTTCTACACATGACTATGAGGACAAACATGAGTGAAACGGTCTCAATCCAAGGGAGGAACATCAAATGGACCTAATTTGGGAACCGGAAGAGGTAAGGAGTCCGAAATGTACCTCTGTGACTCCACATTGTGGAAACTCACTTGTAGTGTATAAGATGAACTAGATGGACCCATACTTACCCAAACATGGATTAATAGGTTCTACACATGACTATGAGGACAAACATGAGTGAAACGGTCTCAATCCAAGGGAGGAACATCAAATGGACCTAATTTGGGAACCGGAAGAGGTAAGGAGTCCGAAATGTACCTCTGTGACTCCACATTGTGGAAACTCACTTGTAGTGTATAAGATGAACTAGATGGACCCATACTTACCCAAACATGGATTAATAGGTTCTACACATGACTATGAGGACAAACATGAGTGAAACGGTCTCAATCCAAGGGAGGAACATCAAATGGACCTAATTTGGGAACCGGAAGAGGTAAGGAGTCCGAAATGTACCTCTGTGACTCCACATTGTGGAAACTCACTTGTAGTGTATAAGATGAACTAGATGGACCCATACTTACCCAAACATGGATTAATAGGTTCTACACATGACTATGAGGACAAACATGAGTGAAACGGTCTCAATCCAAGGGAGGAACATCAAATGGACCTAATTTGGGAACCGGAAGAGGTAAGGAGTCCGAAATGTACCTCTGTGACTCCACATTGTGGAAACTCACTTGTAGTGTATAAGATGAACTAGATGGACCCATACTTACCAAACATGGATTAATAGGTTCTACACATGACTATGAGGACAAACATGAGTGAAACGGTCTCAATCCAAGGGAGGAACATCAAATGGACCTAATTTGGGAACCGGAAGAGGTAAGGAGTCCGAAATGTACCTCTGTGACTCCACATTGTGGAAACTCACTTGTAGTGTATAAGATGAACTAGATGGACCCATACTTACCCAAACATGGATTAATAGGTTCTACACATGACTATGAGGACAAACATGAGTGAAACGGTCTCAATCCAAGGGAGGAACATCAAATGGACCTAATTTGGGAACCGGAAGAGGTAAGGAGTCCGAAATGTACCTCTGTGACTCCACATTGTGGAAACTCACTTGTAGTGTATAAGATGAACTAGATGGACCCATACTTATCCAAACATGGATTAATAGGTTCTACACATGACTATGAGGACAAACATGAGTGAAACGGTCTCAATCCAAGGGAGGAACATCAAATGGACCTAATTTGGGAACCGGAAGAGGTAAGGAGTCCGAAATGTACCTCTGTGACTCCACATTGTGGAAACTCACTTGTAGTGTATAAGATGAACTAGATGGACCCATACTTACCAAACATGGATTAATAGGTTCTACACATGACTATGAGGACAAACATGAGTGAAACGGTCTCAATCCAAGGGAGGAACATCAAATGGACCTAATTTGGGAACCGGAAGAGGTAAGGAGTCCGAAATGTACCTCTGTGACTCCACATTGTGGAAACTCACTTGTAGTGTATAAGATAACTAGATGGACCCATACTTATCCAAACATGGTTTAATAGGTTATACACATGACTATGAGGACAAACATGAGTGAAACGGTCTCAATCCAAGGGAGGAAACATCAAATGGACCTAATTTGGGAACCGGAAGAGGTAAGGAGTCCGAAATGTACCTCTGTGACTCCACATTGTGGAAACTCACTTGTAGTGTATAAGATGAACTAGATGGACCCATACTTACCCAAACATGGATTAATAGGTTCTACACATGACTATGAGGACAAACATGAGTGAAACGGTCTCAATCCAAGGGAGGAACATCAAATGGACCTAATTTGGGAACCGGAAGAGGTAAGGAGTCCGAAATGTACCTCTGTGACTCCACATTGTGGAAACTCACTTGTAGTGTATAAGATGAACTAGATGGACCCATACTTATCCAAACATGGATTAATAGGTTCTACACATGACTATGAGGACAAACATGAGTGAAACGGTCTCAATCCAAGGGAGGAACATCAAATGGACCTAATTTGGGAACCGGAAGAGGTAAGGAGTCCGAAATGTACCTCTGTGACTCCACATTGTGGAAACTCACTTGTAGTGTATAAGATGAACTAGATGGACCCATACTTACCCAAACATGGATTAATAGGTTCTACACATGACTATGAGGACAAACATGAGTGAAACGGTCTCAATCCAAGGGAGGAACATCAAATGGACCTAATTTGGGAACCGGAAGAGGTAAGGAGTCCGAAATGTACCTCTGTGACTCCACATTGTGGAAACTCACTTGTAGTGTATAAGATGAACTAGATGGACCCATACTACCCAAACATGGATTAATAGTTCTACACATGACTATGAGAAAGGAGAAGAAAGGAGTCAAAAACGACACCGAATTAAGCGCGACCGATCTCAAAGAACTGGTTGAGCAGTACAAGAGTGTTTACTTGCAGGTCAAGGGACAAGAGTTTCCTTCAGAACCTAAAAAGCAGTTGGAGCTAGCGATTGAAGCGGTGTTCGACTCTTGGGATAGCCCGAGAGCGATCAAGTACAGAAGCATTAACCAGATAACCGGATTGAAAGGAACCGCGGTTAACATTCAGTGCATGGTGTTTGGAAACATGGGAGACACTTCAGGGACTGGTGTTCTCTTCACCAGGAACCCTAGTACCGGAGAGAAGAAGCTCTACGGCGAGTTCCTAGTCAATGCTCAGGGAGAAGATGTGGTTGCAGGGATAAGAACACCAGAGGATTTGGATACGATGAAGAGAGTAATGCCTCAAGCTTACGCAGAGCTTGTAGAGAACTGCGACATCTTAGAGAGGCATTACAAAGACATGATGGTTAGTAACTTAGTCTACACACAGATTCTCAATAGTACTCATCAAGAAAACAGACTCAAATGTTGTATTATTTGCAGGATATTGAGTTCACGGTGCAAGAAGAGAGATTGTGGATGCTGCAATGTAGAGCGGGTAAGCGAACTGGTAAAGGTGCGGTGAAGATAGCAGTTGATATGGTGAGTGAAGGGCTTGTTGATAAACCTTCTGCAATCAAAATGGTGGAGCCTCAACATCTTGATCAACTACTTCACCCACAGGTATACACATAAACTCAATAAAGGTTCAATTTTTTTAGTACATAAAGGTTTTGTTTAGGTCACACACTTGAGATTTGTAACCAAAAGTCAAAAATTTACTTCGACCTAATTGCACATTTCCACCAAAACAGAGGATGATTGTTAAAACGTAATCTATGAAGTGGGTTAATGAAAGTTTCGATTTTTTTTGGATGGATTAGTTTCATGATGCGTCGGGTTATCGTGAAAAAGTGGTGGCGAAGGGCTTACCGGCGTCTCCAGGAGCGGCGGTAGGGCAGGTTGTGTTCACGGCGGAGGAAGCAGAAGCTTGGCATTCTCAGGGCAAAACCGTGATTCTGGTAAAGTCGAACTCTTTCTCTCTTCTGATCTCTAAATGAACAAACCCATACACCGCAAAATCTAAACGAATGTGTGTGGTGAGATTTTTAGGTTCGAACGGAGACAAGCCCTGAAGATGTTGGAGGTATGCACGCAGCGGAAGGTATATTGACGGCGAGAGGAGGAATGACGTCACACGCGGCGGTTGTAGCTCGTGGTTGGGGCAAATGCTGCATCGCCGGTTGCTCCGAAATCCGCGTCGACGAGAACAAAAAGGTTTCTACTTTCTTCTGATTTCGATTGTAACAAATTGTAGGAAGATCGTTTCTGATTAGAGCTGAAAAATTTTCAGGTTCTATTGATTGGAGAATTGGCTATAAATGAAGGTGAATGGATCTCAATGAACGGAACAACCGGTGAGGTTATATTGGGGAAACAAGCATTGGCTCCTCCTGCTTTAAGTGCAGACTTAGAGACTTTCATGACTTGGGCTGATGGAATCAGACGTCTCAAGGTGTTTTATGAGTTTCTCTCAACTTGTTTTACCATCAATCTTGAAGCTTTTTCCTTTTAACTCAAAATGTCAAATGATTAATAAGGTTATGGCGAATGCGGATACGCCTGAAGACGCGATTGCAGCTAGGAAAAACGGAGCTCAAGGGATCGGGCTTTGTAGGACCGAGCATATGGTAAACATACTTCCTCCTTCTCTAGTTCTTGATGAATCAAGATTGTGCTGTGGTTTCAGATTTTCATGTTTGTGTTTGGTTTTGGTTTGTTTTAAGTTCTTTGGAGCAGATAGGATAAAAGCAGTGAGGAAGATGATAATGGCGGTGACAACAGAGCAAAGGAAAGCTTCTTTAGATGTCTTGCTTCCTTACCAACGTTCTGATTTCGAAGGGATCTTCCGCGCAATGGATGGTAATGACATGTTTTGAGTCTCTTTCTCTCTAAAGTGTAGAACTTTGAAAACAAAGCTTAAACCTTTTGATCTTGTTTCTTTTAGGTTTACCTGTAACAATCCGTTTGTTAGACCCTCCGCTTCATGAGTTTCTACCTGAAGGTGATTTGGATAACATAGTAAACGAGCTAGCTGAAGAGACAGGAATGAAAGAAGACGAGATCTTGTCAAGAATAGAGAAACTCTCTGAAGTGAATCCAATGCTTGGTTTCCGCGGTTGCAGGTTTCTCCTTTGCTCTCTCTTTGCACCTGAGTTTTAGTTAATCGAAGACTAAACATGACGGTTAATCTTGTATGTTATAGGCTTGGAATATCATATCCAGAGCTAACGGAAATGCAAGCGCGTGCGATTTTTGAAGCAGCAGCGACGATGCAAGACCAAGGTGTTACTGTTCTTCCTGAGATTATGGTTCCACTTGTTGGAACTCCTCAGGTATGTCTCTCTACATGTCAGTATATGCAACATAGTTTTAGAAAGATTAAACATTTTGACAGAAATGATCATATATACATGAGTAGGAATTGGGTCACCAAGTTGCTGTAATCCGGAAAGTTGCAAAGACAGTATTTGCTGAGAAGGGTCATACCGTGAGCTACACGGTCGGGACAATGATCGAGATCCCTCGAGCAGCGCTCATTGCTGATGAGGTAAATGTACTTTCTTTAGAAACATAACTATGTATCAAGCGGAATATGCTAAAGTATGGACCTTTTCGTTGAAACAGATTGCGGAAGAGGCAGAGTTTTTTTCGTTTGGGACAAATGACTTGACGCAGATGACATTTGGATATAGTAGAGACGATGTTAGTAAGTTTCTACCGATTTACCTCGACAAAGGAATTCTACAGAACGACCCTTTTGAGGTATGTAAAACTGTATAATCTCATTTTCTACTCTCCAAAAGATAAAAGAAGTTGATAGTTATTGTTTATGTTTATTGGAACAGGTTCTTGATCAGAAAGGTGTAGGACAATTGATCAAGATGGCGACAGAAAAAGGACGAGCGGCTAGGCCTAACCTCAAGGTAAAAGTTTTTTTTTTGTGAATAGAAATCGAACAAACAAAATAGAAAATGTTGGGAAATTTGGGATTGAATCTGATGAGTTGAAATAAAACAGGTTGGGGTATGTGGAGAACATGGAGGAGAGCCATCGTCTGTTGCATTCTTTGCTGAAGCAGGACTTGACTATGTTTCTTGTTCTCCTTTCAGGTATTTTTAGTAACTACTTACTGCTAATCAAATCCTTGTTTTTTTTTTTTCATAAGAATATTGATGTAAATTTTGGGGATATCTGTTGTTGCAGGGTTCCTATTGCAAGGCTAGCAGCTGCTCAAGTTGTTGCATGATGGAAACTGCATGGCATTGTTCTGTGAATAAAAATTCTTTGATTTTTGTTTCCAAGAAATATGAACAAAATCAAAGAAACTGGATTTAACTTCTTTTTTTTTTTTAAAAGGAAGAATATAGAAGCTTCATGTTGTAAACTGAAGTATTAATAAAAGAAAAGTATTGTTGGGATGATCATGTCCTCAAGGCTCAAACTAACCAAGTAGTCAACTTCACGTAATTTGCTTTCTCTACTTGCAAAACAAAGATTAAAGGCTTTGAACCCAAAATCAAGTCTTTGTTCTTTTCTGAAATAAAATTACAATTTGAGAAACAGACCGTTCAAAAGAAGAAAGAGTAACACTTTAAAGATAGAAGATAAAAGAGATTAGATAGGAATGATAATCGGACATTCATACACTTGAGGTCGTTGCTTGAAAACTATCACTGCAACATAGAACATGACAAAAAAACAGCAACAAGTATTTCAAAATGAAAGTCTCCAACTTTATAAAAGATGCAACTTGACAACAAGGTCACTGAAACGAAAGCAGCCCATGAACACAACACAAACCAAAACAAGAAGTAAGAGAGACAAAATCAAGCCATGCAGAGAGGCACCTGTGATCGTCGATCTTCTGGCTTAGAATCCTAATTCCTCCGCTCTAAACCCGTCCCGGGAACACAGTGGCGGCTTTGGGCAGCTCAGGACAGTTTTCCACAATCAATGTTCTCAGGCTTGAGAGAGCTGGAGGATTGCAGCAGATTCTCTTGAGCCCAGCCATGTCATTCAAGTGAAGTGATTCGAGCTTTTCAAAGGGAGCACAAATATTTGGATGCATCAAGGTAATACTCATTCCTTTCTCCTTATTTATGATCTCTTCTATCTTTGGTGACCGATCTACACATAGACTCGTGAGATTTTGAGCAAACAAAAGCCACGTCAGATCCTTTGGCCCTTCCAAATCTTCTATATCAACAGAGAAGAGCTGCTTGAAGCCTGGAACCTCCCCAGTTTCGTTGCTTTCCCAAACTATCTTTATCTCATATATGTTGGAGGTGAAAATCACAAACCGTTCAAGACTTTTCAGAGCCACAGCGTTTAGTTTTATAACCTCTGCAGACAGATCCCTGAGACTTAAAGCTCGAATACTACTCGCCAATCGTTCTTTTCCTTGTATCTGTTCCAAAATCTTGGCATCTTCTATGGTTGCTGTTAAAAGCCTCAAGTGCTTCAGGAGTAATAGCTCTTCTATCGAATTGACATCAACACAAACCCCGGAACATAATAGTTTCAACACCTGCAGATTTGGTAAACTTTCTAACTATCCCAGCAATGCTCTCAAGTTGATGAGCACATTCCAAATTCAAGTCGATTAGTTTCCTCAACTCCTTCAAACCAACTGGTAACGATTTTATACTTGTGTCTGACAAGTTAAGATATTTCAAGGAACCCAAGTTGGAAATTTCTTCCGGCAATCCAACAAGGTCTTTGTTCCCTGAAAGATCCAAGACCACAAGTGCTGGCATAAACTGAAAGAATGCACCTGAAATACTCACCAGCTGGTTATTCCGAAGTAAGAGGGTCGAGAGGTTGGGGCATTTTGGACTGCAAGATATCTCTGCAATCTGATTGTTCATCAAAGAGATCCTTTTCACAACTTCCCATTTGATGTCCTCTGGTATCTGGCGTAACCTCGCACCGGGTTTCACACAATGTGTTTCTTTATCTTTCCCAAAGATAGACACTATCCAAAGAGCCATCTCGCGTATCACATCATGCAATTTCACTTCCGCTGTGGTGAATTCACAATCCATCAACAAATGTGCAACAAGTAACGAACCAATTATATCATGGCCTTGGTTGTTAGGTCCATCTTCATCTCCATCCACATCTAAAAACCCTTCGCATATCCAATATTCCATCAACTCCTCATTCTTCATTTCATAGTCTTCCGGAAACAGAGAACAATATCGGAAGCACGCTTTGGCCTTTTCATCCTTTAGACTGTCATAACTGAACTTCAAAATGGGAAGAATCTGTTTTTCCATACCTGGAAACTCGTGGCTAGACTTATCCAGAACACTGATCGCATGACGCCATTCTTGTATAGTTCCTTTACATGCCATGGCTTTGCCAATGACATAAAGTGCAAGTGGCAAACCACAACACTTGTCTGCAACTTTTCTTGCAAGTGTGGCAATATCATGGCTCTTTAAAGGGACTTCTCCAACTGTCTTTCGAAACAATTCCCATGCTTCACCAGGTGACAGACAATTAACTTTCATCTCATCGTCAGCTTCCATGTCTTTGCAAATTCCCATTGAACGAGTGGTGAACACTATTTTGGACCCATTTTGGAGAGTTACAGGTGGAACTCCTACCTTGTTCAGATCTACCTTGCTCGACAGGTCATCCAATAACAGCACGAATTTCTTTCTTTCAAGGTTTTTGTATATGGCAGAGGCTTTCTCCTCTTCTGTTTCGTGTTCCCACTTCTTGGCAAGACCTAGTCTTTTCAAAATCTGTTTCTGTATGCTCTCAGTTTGCAAATCTTTAGAGACCACAGCCCACAACACAACATCAAACTCATTCAGCACTTCGAGGAATTTGTTGTTGATACGAGCTAAGAGGGTGGTTTTGCCAACTCCCCCCATACCATAAAGACCCAAAGTTCTTGGTCCATCTTCCATGAGGCAGTTCCATGCCTTATCAACCATCGATTCCAAACCAACTGTGCTTTTGATATGTTTCTTCTCCACCTTTGATGCAGGACTATTTTCAGCTACCACTTCAAAAACCCCTCTAAATAGGAGTGCCTCAACTTCTTTCAACTTCCGGAATACTCTCTCACCATAATCGTAGCTTGATATGCAATTCTCAGAACAATATCCGAACAGACACAATGTTCTAGTTTCAGTTGATCTAGCCCCAAGCAGGTCATCGACTTGGGATACAACACCTTCTACCCTTGAACACCTTCCTTGGACTTGAGCAAGCCGTTGCAAACCGTTGTCTTCTTCTATCACAACTCTTCTTAATA